CGCTTTGCCCGGTGATTATCCGCCTACGGCAGACGCTGTCTGTTTGTCCGCGCGTCTGTCTGGTGCGGTGCACGTGAAAGGTGTGTAAGGGCCAAGGGTTGGGTCGGGCAGTGCACTGCAAGGCACGGCAGAACACGGCAGACAGGGCACGACAAGGCCGGGCACGGCTGGACCCCAATCCATATACATACGGCGCCTGCCACCTGGAGCGCCGGCAGCATTTCAAACCCATACCCCGCTGGGACGTTGGCGCAGGTGCGGGGGGGATACCTAGACAGGTACCCGACCAGGCCAGACGCTGTACCCGAGAGGTCCACCCAGGTCAACCCGACAGGCTCTATTCTACTACCGAGAAAGTCGGACGCACGGGTGCGGAATACTTCTCCCGCACCACCCCGAGCACCCCACCAGCCCCCAGCAGAGGCGCGGTGTCCGGTACCTGCCACAGTACACGCTTATTTGGGCCCCCAGGTGCAACCCCTTCGCCTCCCTCTCCCCGCTCCCCACTTCACCAGGCTCGCTCGCTCCGCTGCGCGTCCCCTGGACCAATGAGCAGCGCAGATGACGTCATTTCCAGGAGACGTAAAGCCGCTCTGCAAACAGTGGCTTCCGATGAGTTTACGTTGCCACTCGCTCTGAGGTAAAACGAGATGGCAAAGGCAGGGCGGCGGGAGGGGGGTTTGAAGTGTACGAAAGAGAGGCGAGGGAGGGAGGGACAGGGTGTACGGGAGGATCTGGAACGCGCGTAGAAAACCCCCCTGCAACGCAGTGAAGAGAGGAAAGAACGGTGGGACAGCCTCCTGCAGAGCTAATCCGGATCTCTCTTGCGCTCTGTCCCACACGATCTCCGTCACTGCTTTCTCTCTCACTTTTTGTCTCTCCCTGTCCCCGACCATTTATCATCCACCTCCATCCCCCTCTCTCCCTCCCTCTCTCTCTCCCGGTTTATCGCCTCTCTTCTTCATTTAATCTTCCCGAGACTAAACAGCTGAGGCTTTCCGTTTCGAAAGAAAAGGGGAGGAGAGGGAAGAGAGGAGGCAGAATTGTGCAAACAGTCCGTCTGCAGCAGCGCCCCGCCCGCCGCAGCAGCGACGGCGGTGGTCGTGGTGCAACTGAACCGGGCGAGGGCGGAGGTATCGGACCTGTCACAAGTGGCACACGTCGTGGGCATGGGCATGGAGGTGTGTCGGTTTGATAAGAGACGAGGGGGCGGGGAGGGGAGAGGGGAGGGAAGTTCAGCTAAATGGTAGTGAGTGCGGACGGGGCGGAGCACAGCCTCACTCGGCTCTCAGCCAAGCCCCTCCAGTTCCAGGCCGACGCGTCCGTCACCACCAGCGCCCCGACGATGACGCCCCTCTCGCGCTGGCTCCTGGCCTTCGGGGTCGCGGTCGTCGTCCTCGTCGCCTCTACGGGCACCGCCATGGTGCCCTACGACTCGGACGAAGGTGTGTTGAACTTCACGCATGGGCCGCATCCTACAGCTTAGGTAGACTGTACCGCACGATCTACTGCCGTCAGGGACGATAGGCAACCCGCCTGCGTGTGGTACAGTCGAAACACGAGTGAGGGCCTCCAAGCGCAACCCCGTTGACACTCTTTTGTTGCAGAGAGCGCCGCGTTCTGGCGGCGGCAGGGGCTGGAGGCGCTGACGCGCACCCTGCACCGCGTGCAGGCCGCCAACCCGGACGAGGCGCGGCGCGTCGCCAAGAACGTCATCGTGTTCGTGGGCGACGGCATGGGCGTGTCCACCACGACGGCCGCGCGCATCTACAAGGGCCAGCGCCAGGGCCGCGTCGGGCCGGAGGGCGCCACCCTGGCCTGGGAGCGCTTCCCCAGCCTGGGACTCTTCAAGGTGGGCGGTGCTACGTAACACGTGGACGGCTTTGTGCGGGGCCCGCCTGGCGAGGCCCTCGTGTAAGTGGACCAGGGAACTAAGGGCCGGTCAAAGCAGCGGGCCCCCAGCAGGGTCCTGGGCAGGGCCCCGCCCGGGTCAGGGTCAAGGTGGAACGCCCTTGGGAAGGCGACAGTGGCACAACTCAAGCAGTGAGGGCCACCGGGAGGAGGGTCGGGGGCGTTTTAAAGGGGTCATTACGCGGCTAAGTGCGTCGCCAGGACGCCGCGAGGGTGGCGGTGCGGGAGGAGGAGGGAGGAGAGCTGCAATTATAAAGGCGCGTGGCATTCAAAAAATCGCTCGCTAAAAAAAACTTCGGCGTTTAACGGTGTTTTGTGTTTGTCGTAGACGTACAACGTGGACAAGCAGGTGCCGGACTCGGCGGGCACCGCCACGGCCATGTTCAGCGGCGTGAAGAGCCGCTACTACATGCTGGGGCTGGAGGCGCGCGCGCGCCTGGGCCGCTGCGACCTGGAGCAGGACCACCACCGCCGACTGGGCTCCATCATGGGGTGGGCGCAGATGGCGGGCAAGCACACGGGCTTCGTCACCACGACGCGCGTCACGCACGCCACGCCGGCCGCGCTGTACGCGCACATCAACCACCGCGACTGGGAGTGCGACACCAAGGTGCCCGACGACCAGCGGGACTGCGTCGACGACATCGCCCGCCAGCTCGTCGAGTCCCAGGTAACGTCACGAGTGCGGCTGGCCGGGTCGTTAGAGACAGCCATAAACAAAGTACTCATCAGTGCCTTTCGCAGCCCGGCAGCAACTTCCGCGTCATCCTGGGCGGCGGCCTCAAGCAGTTCGGCCAGGTGCAGGACTACAACGCCACCTGGGACGACTCGTGCGAGCGGGCCGACGGCCGCGACCTGGTGGCCGCGTGGCGTGGCGGCAAGGAGCGCGCCCAGTTCGTGCGCACCCGCGAGCAGCTGCTCGACGTCAACGTCAACGAGGCCGACTACCTGCTGGGCCTCTTCAGCCCGGGCCACATGCCGTACGCGCTCGAGACCAACGTGACGGACTACTCGCCGCCGTCGCTGGCCGACATGACGCTGCGCGCCATCCAGATGCTCAGCAAGGGCCCCGACGGCTTCATGCTCATGGTGGGTGGGGCAGCGAGGTGGCGCTGAGGCCGGCGACAACGGCACCCAGTCGTACACGAGCTGCTCTCCCTCCCGCAGGTGGAGGGCGGGCGCATCGACCAGGCGCACCACGCCAACATGGCGCACCTCGCGCTGGAGGAGACCCTGCAGCTGGAGGCCGCCGTCGAGGTGGCGCTGCGCATCGTGGACCTGTCCGAGACCCTGATCGTGGTGGGGGCCGACCACTCCCACGGCTTCACCATCAACGGCTACCCCGCCCGCGGCAACGACATCCTGGGTACGACGACACGACCACGTTGCTCTCGCCCGCCTCGCTGGGCCACCCACCGCCCCACCAACCTCCGGCGTGTTCGTGTTGGCAGGCTACGCTGACGAGGAGAACAAGTACCAGACGCTGACCTACGCCACGGGGCCAGGCGCCATCCCCTCCATCCGCGGGGACCCCGACAGCGTGTACCACCGCCACTTTGCGCCCACGTTCCTCAAGGACGCGGCGCACGGCGGAGAGGACATCGTGGTGTACGCAACAGGTACGGGGAATAAAAGAAACATAAAGGAGCGGGGAAAGCACTCGCGGCGTGCGCACTCCTGGCACTTGTTTCCGTTTTCCGGTCGCAGGTCCGCTCGCGCCGCTGTTCACCGGAGTGTTCGAGCAGAACTACCTGGCGCATGCAGTCAGCTACGCGGCCTGCACCGGCCCGCTCGCCTACATGTGCCCCTTCAGGACGGGCAGCGTGTCGGCCGGGCACACGAGCGCCGCGGCGGCGGCCGGCGCCACGATGCTGCTGCTCCTCGCCGGCGCCGCGCTGCGGATACTGCCCCACTGCTGAGCGCCAAGCGGCGCGGACGTGTTGTCTACCGCAGATAAGACCGCGGTGCCCTCCAGACCCGCCCGGGCCGAGCCTTGTGCGGCTGAGGCTAGGCCAGAGCGCGGCCGGGGACGGGCCGCTGGGCCGCGACAGACTCAATTGGACTAGTGTTAGCAAGCTCCATCTGTGATCTAATTTAAGCAGCGCTCGCCCCGGGGGACTCCTCTCAGTCACACAGACACACACCTACACACACGCCCGCAAGGTCCTTCGGCGCAACTTTCTTTTGTGAGCGCTCGGCTGCAGGAGAGGAGCTCCTCTACTAAGAGGCCAGCCGGGCCTCGCCCCCCACTCCGGACGCCACCCGAGCGGGTCGCTGGTGGGCGCGGCCGCGTGCGAAGCGCGCATTGCCCAACGGGGGCTCTCGGCAACCCCAGCCAGGGGCTTTACACTTGCCAGCAAGATAGTTGGAGCCGGCATGTCCGTCCGTCCGACCGCCTCACCTCCAAGACACCCCTCCCCTCCCCCCTTTCCCCTCGCAATTACGCCTCATCATCCACCTCACCGATTCCTTCCCGGGCGGTGCGGTACCCTGCCGCCCCTACTTTACCCCTCGTTAAACCCCCCCCCCCTGCCAAACAGCGCATCGGGCGGGGGCCGCGTCCGGGAGAGCGCCCCGCCTCTGTTCGCGCCCGAACGCAGCCCCCGTCAATCGGAGTGACGGACGTTATCCACGAGCAGTGAAACGTCAAGCGCCCGCCCGGCGCGCTGCCGCTCTGCAATCCGATCCGATGCATGCCATGCCAACTACCCTCGGAAAAGAGCAGCTGCTCGAGCCTATACGCCGCAGGGCGCGTTTGTTATGCGAGACAAATAGAAAACTGACACTCTTTCTGTGATACTGTAATGATTACTTACAAAGGTCTTTCCGTATGTGAAATGCAAGGACTGTAATAAATTAAGTTGATGACGCAAGCAAAAATCGTGCAGATCTGAAGCCATATCGTCTATGTTTCCCTCTGGTCTAAAGACTGTACTTTCGTTTTTCGGTGTTCCCGCCGAGGGGTGGGCTGGTACTTTATCTCCGCGGTGACGTAAAGAGGTGTGTTACGTGTCTGAGTGGCGCACCTCCACCGGTCCTCCCCAGGACGCTGAAGAAGTATGGCACGTCGGCGATGCACTGCAAGAAGTCTCAACGAGGGAATGGAAAACATAGGCAGCCGGCGGCCCACAGAAGTAGCCAAGCAGTAGCCGAACTGTGCCCTGGACCGTGCGCCCCAGACAAGGGTTTAACTCGGTTCCACCTTGAAGCTCGCCCGCCACGCCCGGCCCCGGCAGCCGGCAGCCCTTCCGCTTTCTTATGGCGCGGCTATGTCCGAACCAGGCCAACGAGTGCCACAAACTTTTCTCAGATGACCTTGTTTCTCCGCACGGGACTCGTGTGCCCGTTGTCGAGTTGAAAAAAATATAGAGGTGGGCTAGTTGGGGGGGAGGGGGGAATCTCGAAAGAAGGACAAGCGGAGTGTCAGTGTCTGTGTGTGAGTGTGAGTGCGTGGGAGAGATATAGACAGAGAGAGAGAGATACAGAGAAAGACAGAGAATATAGAAAGGAGGGGAAAAGACGTTCAAAGAGCAAGATTTATTTCGCAGAATAGCTGAGCAGTAGTGGTGTTTGCCACGTTACTTTGTATGGCAGGGATTCGGGGATAAAAATACTGCATGTACCCACTGGCCGGCAGGCACGCCTCAATGGCAACTACACCTGAGGAGGATACAGGCAGAGCGAGGTTCAGGGATTCAAGGGTAGGGGGATCAGAGGAGAGGGGGGAAGGGAGACATTCTCACGATGACAAAAAGAAACAAAAGCGAAAAGCAGCAGTACAGTTGCAGCGCACACAGACCGACTCAAGAACAAGGGAACAGCGCGGCACAAAGAGAGGCCTGCTGCTTTGGCGCCCGGAGAGAAAAACACAGGAGATAAGAAAATACCATTTCCCCTTCCGATTTGATCCGGGGCCGGCAACAGGCGGTGGTGGCGTCCCTTCGGCGCACCAGCAGCACCCCGACCTCTGTCCAGCGAGGACAGAGAGAGAGAG